TAAAAAAATAACTTCTAGTGAAGGCTAATTTGGAACATGTTTAAATCAATCTGAACTCTTTTTGATGGTACTGAGATTTAAACTGAGGGCTTCATGCTACGGGGCAGGTGCTCTACTGCTCGAGCCATGCCGTCACTCCATCTGAACTCTCAGTGAAGGTTCCCGGTGAAGGCCCTGGGGCACTATGAGATGCCAAGTGTATTTTTAAGTGCTAAGACTAGAATTATGTTTAATATAGCTTTGGTGTAAAGAGTACTTGCACATCGGTGAGAATATTCAGTTAATGAATGGCTCTTGCTTCAGTTCTACACCTTCGTTAGTAGGATAAGATTGGGATAAAGCAGCCAGACGTGCTGGCTCAGGCCTGTACTGCCAGCCCTGGGGAGGGTGAGGCAGGAAGACTGAATTCAAGGCTATCTTGGGCAACGCAGTGAGACTCAGTCTAAAAAAAAAGAATTAGGGAGGAATGGAATGTGCACTGAGGAACAATTGGCAGTCTTTATGACAACTGATGACTCATGAAAGTTAATGAAGTAGCCATGAAGTCCATGATAATTAATTACTCCAGAAGAAATATAGGTTCATGCCTAAATAAGCCTATCTACTCAGGAAGCTGAGATCTGAGGATCATAGTTCAAAGCCAGCTGGAACAAGAAAGTCCATGAGATTCTTTTTTTTTTTTTCCCTTTCTGCTTATGAGGTGCTGAGGAATTGAACCCAGAGCCCCATGTATGCAAGGCAAGCACTCTACCACTGAGCCACCTTACTAGCCACCCCCTTTTTTTGTTGTTGGTCATAGGGCCTGAACTCTGGGCCTGGGCATTGTCCCTCAGCATTTCAGCTCAAGGCTAGCGCTCTACCACTTGAGCCACAGCACCACTTCCAGCTTTTTCTGTGTATGTGGTGCTAAGGAATGGAACCCAGGGCACCTAAGGCAAGCGCTGTACCACTGAGCCACCTTCCCAGCCCCAGTCCATGAGATTCTTATCTCCAATTAAAATATCAAAAAGCCAGAAGTAGAGCTGTGGCTTAAGTAGTACAGTGAGCAATAAAGTTCAGAGTTCAAGTTAGGCCCTGAGTTCAAGCTTTAGAACCTGCACACATTCAAAACAACAACAACAACGAAATACAATGCTTTTGTTTTTGTTTTTCCTGGTTCTAGGGCTTGAACTCAGGGCCTGGGTGCTGTCTTGAACTTCTTTTTGCTCTACCACTTGAGCCACAGTGCTATTTCTAGCTTTTTCTGACTAGTTTATTGGAGATAAGAGTCTCATGGACTTTTTTGCCCAGGTTGGCTTTGAAGGGCAACCTCAGATCTCAGCCTCCTGAGTAGCTAGGATTATAGGTATAAGCCACCACCAGCCAATTCAAACCTTATTCTTTTTTTTAAAAAAATATATAGGGCTGGTAAGGTGGCTTAGTGGTAGAGTGCTTGCCTTGCATGCATGAGGCCCTGGGTTCGATTCCTCAGCACCACATAAGCAAAAAGAAAAAAGCCGGAAGCGGCGCTGTGGCTCAAGTGGTAGAGTGCTAGCCTTGAGATGAAGAGCTGAGGGACAGCGCCCAGGCCCAGAGTTCAGGCCCCACTACCGGACCCGAAAAAAAATGTTTTTTTCTATTATGTTTAAGTTATTACATAAATTTCACAAATTTCATAGTATTGTGAGATAGTAATATTAGTTAAAGTCACAAACACATTCTAACATTCATGGGACAAATTGTCATTATCATGGTCTATAAAGCTTGTGAAGTCTATGAGCTTTGACAATACAGCTATTTCTTCCACATTGGGCGATATGTACATTTCTTCCCTTTTGCTTAGTGTCAGCTGTTCCCTCTATCCCTCTCATTCCCTCCCTCCCATTGCTACCATTGAGTTGCTTAGTTTGTTTCCATCAATGTCCAGCGCAGCTGATGGGTCCCGCTGTTGTATGTTTGCCTGTTTCTCTCTGTTTCTGCGTCTTCCTTCTAGTTACCCTCAGATGTGCGCATATATACCATACATGTGTTCAGCAGCATGGGGTCATTTAGTAATGATATGACCAGATGAGTGGAGGTCCTTTGTTTCTTATCTCTTTTTTTTTTTGCCAGTCATGGGGCCTAAACTCTGGGCCTGGGCGCTGTCCCTCAGCTCTTCAGCTCAAGGCTAGCGCTCTACCACTTGAGCCACAGTGCCACTTCCAGCTTTTTCTGCTTATGTGGTGCTGAGGAATAGAACCCAGGGCCTCATGCATGCAAGGCAAGCGCTCTACCACTGAGCTACCTTCCCAGCCCTGTTTCTTATCTCCTTATGTTTTGGACTTAATATCCACATATCAGGGAGACCATGTGCTGTTTGTCTCTTTGCTCTTGGCTTACCTCACTCAAAATGATTTTTTTCTAGTTCCATCCATTTCAAATGCCATTATTTTGTCCTTTCTAATGGCTGCATAATATTCCATTGTATATAAGTACCACAAATTTTGGATCCATTCATCTGTAGTGTGGCATCTGGGTTGTTTCCATATCTTGGCTATTGTGAACAGTGCTGCAATGAACATGGAGGTACATGTGTCCTTGTATTCTGGCTTCTGTTGCTCAGGGTAGAAGCTTAGGACTGGTATGGCTGGGTTATAGGGGAGGTCTATATTTAGTTTTCCGAGGAACCTCCAGACTGCTTTTCAAAGTCAAACCTTATTCTTTTTTTTTTTTTTTTGGTCAGTCATGCGCCTGAACTCTGGGCCTGGGTGCTGTCCTTCAGCTCTTCAGCTCAAGGCTAGCGCTCTACCAGAGCCACAGCGCCACTTCTGGCCTTTTCTGCTTATGTGGTGCTGAGGAATTGAACCCAGGGCCTCATGTGTGCAAGGCAAGCACTCTACCACTGAGCCACCTTCCCAGCCCTCAAACCTTATTCTTAATGAAAATCTTACTGTCCACCCTAATCTGTTTCTTTCTTTCTCAGGAAACTGAGCCTAACTACCAAGTCCTCATGAGAATCCTTATCTCTCGAAGTGAGACTGACCTCCTAAGCATCCGAGCTGAGTTCAGGAAGAAATTTGGAAAGTCTTTGTATTCTTCTCTCCAGGTAAAACTTGTCTAGTTTGTAGTGTGAAGCCCCAGAGCCTCACTTCCTCACCATCTACCTTCCCTACCCACAGCTGACCATACTCACCATATAAAACATGAACAAGCCACGTGCCGGTCGCTCACGCCTGTAATCCTAGCTACTCAGGAGGCTAAGATCTGAGGATTGTGGTTCAAAGCCAGCCCAGGCAGAAAAGTCCATGAGACTCTTATCTCCAATAAACCACTCAGAAAACTGGAAGTGGGGCTGTAGCTCAAGTGGAAGAGAGCTAGCCTTGAGCTGAAGAGCTGAGGGACAGCGCCCAGGCCCAGAGTTCAGGCCCAAGACCGACCAAAACAAAACAAAACAAACCCCCATGAACATTCAGTGAATTGAGTTCAGGACTACAAGCTCCATGAGCATGCTCCCTCCGAGATGCGCTGGGGACCCCTTGAGGGAGGAGTCGAACTGCTTGGCCCATGGTGGCAAAAAGCTTTCCTTCCTTTTTTTTTTTTTTTTTGGTTGGTCATGGGGTTTGACCTCTGGGCCTGGGTGCTGTCCCTCAGCTCTTCAGCTCAAGGCTAGCGCTCTACCACTTGAGCCACAGCGCCACTTCCGGCTTTTTCGCTTATGTGGTGCTGAGGAATTGAACCCAGGGCCTCATGCATGCAAGGCAAGCGCTTTACCACTGAGCCACCTTCCCAGCCCCTACTTCCCACTTTTTGGGTAATTAATTGAAGAGTCTCACAGAATTTCTTGCCTGGGCTGACTTCAAACCACAATCCTCAGATTTCAGCCTTCTGAGTAGCTAAGATTACAGGAATGAGCCTCCAGCACCTGGCTGGCAGTAGGCTTTCTAACACTTCCTTCCTTGCCGACAGGACACAGTGAAAGGAGACTGCAGGTCAGCCCTACTGGCCTTGTGCAGAGCAGAAGACATCTGACACCTTCCGGCCCATCATCTTCACGTGACATTCAAAGATGAGCAATGCCTATGTTTGGCTGAGCCTGTGGGAGTCTAGCTGGGCCTCCGAATGGAATATTTTCACCCAGTATCACATACTCCATCTTTTCCTTGAAGCTATACATTTCTTTTAAGTCCCTTAAATTCCCTTATCTCAAAACTTTGTCCGTCCCTGAGTCTTTTTCCTCTGTCTTGGGGTGGGGTAATAGGACCTCTTCCATAGTGTTTGCCCCATTCATCCTTCCCCTATTTGGGCCAGTACATATTGCTTGTACTTGATTTCTTTGGCAAACGTCACCATTGTTCATGGTCCTTGATTGAAGTTCAGGTGGAGCAGGACATGGACCAGGAAAGAGGCCTTGGAGCTGGAAGTACCTTTGATGTGATCTTAGCTACTCAGCAAGGCATCCTGTTTTTGCCTCTGCGCACAATCCAACCTCTTGGGTCTCCCCTCACCCTTTGTATTCTCTCTCAGGAAATTTCAGGCAAGATAATTGAGGAACAAACACCAGAATGAGATCAGAGGTAGCTAAGCACCATCTAGATGAACTGGCAAGAAAGGAGAGAGTCAGTGCCAGGTGCCAGTAGCTCACACCCATAATCCTAGCTACTCAGAAGGGTAAGATCTGAGGATCCTGGTTCAAAGCCAACCTATGCAGGAAAGTCCATGAGACTTTTACCCCTAATTAACCACCTGAAGTGGAGCTGTGACTCAAAGTGGTAGAACTTGAGCACAAAAGCTCAGGACATGGCCCAGGACCCACATGTGTGCTGTACACATATGCATGCACAGAGAGAGAGAGAGACAGACAGACAGACAGAGACACAGAGACACAGAGAGGGGGCAGGCTTTGGTTCCCCCTGCTGGCTCCATTGGAAATGACAGGCAGCTTCCTCCCTCTTCCCCCCCCCTTCCCCCCCCCCCCCCTTTTCACATTCCTCAATTGGGTCAAATATTTAACCCCATTGCTGCAGGGCAAAACAAACAACCGATCTCAGGAAAGAAATTTATTTGCAAACCCTTAGGAAGGCATTACAAATAAAAAAGATAGAAACCCAAATTAAACCCTGAAACAAATGGGAACAAGCCTGCTGGGTAGCCAAGGCGCCTTGAGGCAGGCAGGGTAGGGTAGTAGAGGAGAGATGCATTCCAGATAGGGACCTGATCCTAGTTAGTGCCTGAGTCTGTGTATTCAATGACTATTCTAGGAAAGGGAATTAGGAACCAGAAATCTTCACCCCACCCCTCCCAGCGTTGCCCTGGCTGGGTGGAAGAGAAGTCAGCAGCACTTGAGGGCAAAGACAGTATGGAGTTTGATCTGGACATTTACGGCCAGCTCTGACTCCAACTAGCCCATAAATAAATTACCCTGCTTGTGTCAAGGGTTGAGGTGGGGAAGTAAGCTAACTAGTCACAGCCTCTGAAAGAAGGGGCAGGTCTGCCCAGCATCAGGCGGGGCTATAGAAGAACACAGTCTGACTCGGGCTTTGGTCTCTGCCGTCGTTCTCCGGCTGGGCGTCCAGATGCAGCTCCTCTCCCCTAAATGGGATTTAACAGTTGGTCATCTAACAACCTTGGAAGAACACGAAGGACAGAGGAGATTCTAGAAGGCAAGTGTCATGATCTGTAGGGAAGAGAGAGAGGGAGAGGTGCCAGGAAAAGAGGGACGGAAACCTGGCAGAGAATAGTGAAGGAATAATATTTGTTCTGGACCGGGCAGAGGCAGGTGGCCCAGCGTGCTGAGGGAAGAGCAGAGCAGGCTCACCTGAGGTGATGCGACCCGTGTGTGTGCAGGTTGGACTATTGGCTGTTGTTGATATTCTTCCTGCTGAAGTTGCTGGGCCAGTTCCAAGTCGCTAAGACCCACTGTTCCTTGTGGCTGTTGCTGCTGCTGTAGAGATAAGGCGATCAGGTAGTCCTAAAAAGACCAAAAGTCACCAGGTAGACTAAGGCATTGGAATGGAGATTCAGGTTATGTTTCTAAAGCAGAGTTTCCTTTAAATTGTCCAGCCCTCGCTGGGCAATACTGATACAATCCAAGCCACTTCTGGAGGCTGTGATCTGAGGATGGCAATTTGAAGACAGACTCTTGTCTCCAATGAACCAACAAAAAGCTGGAAGTGGAGCTGTGGCTCAAGTGTTAGCGTGGCAGCCTTGAGCAGAAAAAGCTGAGAGACAGTGTCTAGGTCCTGAGTTCAAGCCCCAGTAATGGCACATGCATGCATCCATCCACCCACCAATACCCCCACCCCCACCCCACATCTGCAGTCCTCTCTGAATTTTTTTTTGGGGGGGTCTGGTCATGGGGCCTTGAACTCTGGGCCTGGGCGCTGTCCCTCAGCTCTTCAGCTCAAGGCTAGCGCTCTACCACTTGAGCCACAGCACCACTTCCGGCTTTTTTTCTTTTTGCTTATGTGGTGCTGAGGAATCGAACCTAGAGCCTCAGGCATGCAAGGCAAGCGCTCGACCACTGAGCCACCTTCCCAGCCCCGCCTCTCTGAATTTAAACATAGTGTATTATCCATGGTACCAGAAAATACACACCAAGCAAGGTGATTGTTACAGTGAAGGAGCAGGGGTGTTAGGGTTATGTCTACATGATAAAATGCACCTAGCCCATTTAGGGTAAAGAGTTCTCTGTGACAAATGAGCTCTCTTCATCTTTCCCATAGTCCCCCACACACCTGGTCTACCTGCAGCTGCTTTGCTGGGGAGCCACTCCCACCCTCTGCCCCAGGGTCCTGGCCCAGGGAATGACTTAGATGGAAGTCAGAGTCACAGAAGCAGCTGTCTCCGTCCACATTGTGCAGGCTCTCCCATACCACTTGCTCCTCCTGTAGAAAACCCTGGTCAGTGACCAGTAGATACAAGTGACTCTGCCAAAAAAAGGACAGAGCAATTGGTGAGACAGGTGTTTTGGACTCAGGTTACTGCTGCCAGCAGGAAGTTAGAGACCTTTTGAACTCAGGTGCTGGTAGCTCTTGCCTATAATCCTAGTCAGGAGGCTGAGATCTGAGGATCATGGTTTGAACTCAGCCTGGGCAAAAACCCAGCCTGGCCATAAGATTCTTTATCTCCACTTAACCACTACAAAGCCAGAAGTAGACCTATGGCTCAAATGGTAGAGTATTAGCCTTAAGCAAAAAAGCTCAGGGACAGAGCCCAAGCTCTGAGTTCAAGCCCTAATACTGGCAGCATTTTAAAAAAATGTAAAAAGATCTTTTTTTTTTTTTTTTGCCAGACCTGTGGCTTGAACTCAGGGCCTGGATACTGCCTGAGCTTCTTTTGTTCAAGGCTAGCGATCTACCACTTGAGCCACAGTGCCACTTTTGGCTTTTTCTGTTTATGTGGAACTGAAGAATTGAACACAGGGCTTCATGCATGCTAGGCAAGTACTCTACCACTGAGCCACCTTCCCAGCCCTGTCAAAAGATCTTCTGAGTCAACTGGTGTGCTGGCTGAGACATATCAGTATGAGCATGTGGGCCTTTCATAAATGTGTGTAGCTGCAGGGAGAAGGAAGGGATGTGAGTATGGTAGAGATTTTGATCAACCCAAGGGCCTGCTTTCAACCCTATATCCCCTGGTCCTCAGAGACTTCTCCCCTCTTCACTTAGTTCCCAGACTGCTCTGGCCACTTGTAACTCTAGGAGACTGTCGCCAAGTTCAAAAGCTCCAACTGCCCCTTTTGGGAGAAGCTTATGCTTTCCTGCCCGCTGACAGCAGGCTTGCATCCCTCTTTATGGCTCCTTCTGGCCTTGAGATGTGAGCCAAAAGGACCATTTATCACTTCCAGGCAAGAAGCATAGAGTGAGTGCAGAGTATCCCTCTCCTTTCCCACATATACCAGATAAAGCACTTCCTGTCAGTCTGGGCCCTGGAGTGAAGACAGTATGGGCCAGAATGTAGCTGGTTCCCAATGAACATGCAGAATAAGTGAAAAATAAGTCATTGTTGTGCTAAACCACAGGATTTTAGGGCTAATGTGTTGATACAACTTAACCCAATATCTTTTCTTAACCCCCCCACCTTTTTTTTTTTGGTGCCTGTCCTGGGACTTGAAGTGGGCCTGGGCGCTGGCCCTGAGCTCTTTTACTCAAGGATAGCATCTACCACTTGAGCCATAACCCCACTTCCAGCTTGTTGGTGGCTAACTGGAGAGAAGAATCTCACAGACTTTCCTGCCCAGGCTGGTTTTGAACCTTGATCCACAAATCTCAGTCTTCTTAGTAGCTAGGATTACAGGTGTGGGTCATGGCACCTGGCTCAACCCACCTTCTCTCGACTGAAACACTGACCCAGAGAAAGAGGCATGGGGAAATACCTCACCCCAACCCCTCCACTTCCAAACCCTCATCACCTTGTGCTTAGTCAGAGTGCTGAAGTGGTTGTTTCGGAAAAAGACGCTAAGTTCTCCTTCCTTGGCAGCTGCTGTGAGTTCACACAGGCCATGGTAGGTGAGCTGCGCCGCCGTGGTCTCCAGAAACTGCTCTGCAATCAGGCCTGAAGACACAAAAACGAGAGGAACTTCGCTTAAATTCAAACTCCATGGTCCCCTGAATAGCACCTGAGAGGCTCTGGGTTTGATCCCTGCCATATCATGACACAAACAACAAAATAAGGTCCAGCCTCAGGAGGATCCTGCAGTAAGCCCTTGTCAGAAGCCTTCCTGAGTCCCATCTTCCGAATCCCCTTCCTAAGGGCTGCGGATGTAGGTCCGTGGTACAGTGGGTGCTTCACATGTATGTGGCCTGGGATACCATCCCTGGCACACACAAAAAAAGTTGAGATAAACCCCTTCCTTGAAGCCTGGATACATGTATTCAAGAAATACTCAGCCTTTGAGAAACTGAGGCAGGAAGACAGCAAATTGAAGGCTAGCCTGAGTTACACAGGGAGACCCTATCTCCAGAAAACAAAACAACTGATAAACAGCTACCTTGTTGTCTGGTAATGTATGAAGCACTGGGTTGATACGTCAGTGAACTAAACAGATAAATTATCAGTCTTGTGGAGCTTATATTCTAGTAGGAGGTAGTGGGAGGTGAAAAATCAGAAAATAATAAACCTAAGCATTAGCATTCCCGAATACATGATCCATGGGGAAACGGGAGTGTCACCTTCTGTCACCAGGTTGGGGTCGCTGGAATGTTTGCAGGTGATAATCTTCTCTACTAGCTGGTTGTAACTCAGTTTCCCAACAGCACCCACAGACTCAGGACTCTGGGAAGATGGGGTGGGACAAAAAAGATATTGAAGCTGGGTGCTGGTGGCTCACACCTGTAATCCTAACTACTCTGGATATCTGAGGATCAGAGTCCAAAGCCAGCCCTGGCAGGACAGTCTGTGAGACTTTTATCTCCAATTAACCACCATAAAACCAGAAGTGGAGCTATTGCTCCAAGTGGTAGAGGACTAGCCTTGAGAAAAAGAGCTCAGGGACAACGTCCAGGCCCTAAGTTCACACCTTATGACTGACAAAAATAAAATAATAAGCCAGGCGCCAGTGGCTCATGCCTGTAATCCTAGCTACTCAGGAGGCTAAAATCTGAAGATCACAGTTCAAAGCCAGCCTCGGTAGGAAAGTCTGTGAAACTCTTATCTCCAATAACCACCAGAAAATCCGAAGTGGCGCTGTAGCTCAAGTGGTAGAGCGCTAGCTTTGAGCTGAAGAGCTGAGAGACAGCGCTCAGGCCCAGAGTTCAAGGCCCACGACCAACAAAAAAATAAATAAAATAAAATAATACATTGAGTTTTTTTTAAAGAAGGTAAATAAAACCAAGCCACTCCATGATCAAAGGTTCCTGAACGTTTGATGTCTACAGAACTAAGCCTATTTGCATGTGATTTGCTTGGATTAGAATGCTACCCCCTAAAAAAAAAAAATTAAGGAATTCAGCACCAGGTTTAGCCCTAGTACTCTTCCAAACCAATTTAATTTCCACCTCACAAAAATCGGCCTCACTACTGTGAGCATGAGCTGGAAAAGAATCTCCCTGGGCCTCCTGCCCTCACCTGTGGATCAACCAGCCAGCCATGGTACAGAGGTATGCCTAGTAGGTCGAAGATGCTGCATTCGGGCGTATACTCAAAGTCAGAGACGCCTGTGAATCGCACATTGACATCCAGACCTGTGGCCAGTTTAGGCAACACTGTCATTGCATCATTCACATTCTGCGGACAGAAAAAAAAATGACGGGTAGTCTAGCTTCCTCTACATGACGCATTCCCACCTCCAGAAATAAAACAGCTGGGAGCCACCTGTAATCCTAGCTACCTGGGAGGCTGAGATTTGAGGTTCAAAGCTAGATAGAACAGGAAAGTCTATGAGGCTCATCTCTAACCATTAAGCCAAAAGTTGAAAATAGAGAGCTGTGGCTCAAGTGGTAGAGCACTAGCTTTGAACCCTGAGTTCAAGCCCCAGTACAGAAAGAAGAAAGAAAGAGAGAGAAGGAAGGAGGGAGGGAGGGAGGGAAGGAAGGAGGGAGAGAGGAAAAGAAGGAAGGAGGGAGAGAGGGAGGGAAGGAGGGAAGGAAGAAGGAAAGAAGAAAGAAAGGACTTAGGAAGCTAAAGCCATATTCCCAGCCCCACTCTGGCTCTCTTACAACCTACTGTATTCCTTCCTTGCCCAAGCCTGCTTTATCTTATGGAAATAAACTTATTCTCCAGGAATATATGCTATTCTCTTGAGAAGGAAATCATGGTTGAAGAAACCCTCTTTAGGGCTGGGAAGGTGGCAAGTGGTAGAGCACTTGCTTTGCATGCATGAGGCCCTGAGTTCAATTCCACAACACCACATAAATAGAAAAAGCTGGAAGTGATGCTGTGGCTCAAGTGGTAGAGCACAAGCCTTGAGCTGAAGAGCTGAGGGACAATGCCTAGGCCCAGAGTTCAAACCCCACGACCAACAACAGAAAGAAAGAAAGAAAGAAAGGAAGAAAAGAAAGAAAGAAAGAAAGAAAAGAAATCCTCTTAAGTATGGCACCAGTGGCTCATACCTGTAATCCTAGCTACTCAGAAGGCTGAGATCTGAGGATCTCAGTTTGAAGCCAGCCTGGGCAGGAAAGTCCATGAGACTCTGATCTATCTCCAATTATGCACCAAAAAACCAGAAGTGGAGCTATGGCTCAAGTGGTAGGGTGCTAGCCTTGCACAAATAAACTCAGGGGCCTAGTTCAAGCCCCAGGACCAACACAAAAAGTAAAAATAAAAAAGAAGCCAGGTACCAGGGGCTCACGCCTATAATCCTAGTTACTCAGGAGGTTGAGATCTGAGGATTGAAGTTCAAAGCCAGCCCAAGCAGGAAAGTCCATGAGACTCTTGTTCTTTTTTTTTTTTTTTTTTTTTGTCGGTCGTGGGGCTTGAACTCTGGGCCTGGGCGCTACCCCTTAGCTCTTCAGCTCAAAGTGAGTGCTCTACCACTTGAGCCACAGCACCACTTCTGTTTTTCTAGGGGTTTTTTTTTGTTTTTTTTTTTGGGTCCGGTCGTGGGGCCTGAACTCTGGGCCTGGGCGCTGTCCCTCAGCTCTTCAGCTCAAGGCTAAGAGCTCTACCACTTGAGCCACAGCGCCACTTCCGGCTTTTTTCTTTTTGCTTATGTGGTGCTGAGGAATCGAACCCAGGGCCTCGAGCATGCAAGGCAAGCGCTCTACCACTGAGCCACCTTCCCAGCCCTTTCTAGGGGTTTTATTGGAGGTAAGAGTCTCATGGACTTTCCTGCTCCAGCTGGCTTTGAACTGTGATCATCAGATCTCAGCCTCCTGAGTAGCTAGGATTACAGATGTGAGCCACCAGCGCCCGGCTTCCAGGAGACTCATCTACAATTAACCACCAGATATCAGAAAAGGCACTGTGTCTCAAGTGCTAGAGCACTCACCTTGAGCTGAAGAGCTCAGTGACAGTGCCCAGGCCCACAGTTCAAGCCCCACGACCAACAGAAAAAGAAAAAAGAAAAGAAACCCTCTTTAAGTGCCATGGTAGTATGCTCAGTAGCTTAGAAAGTACAAGGTTCTGAGTCCAAACTTCAGTACTACTCCACTTCCCCTCCCCCCCAAAAAAGAAAAAAATCAACTCTCTTTAAAAGCGGCAAAGGCTTCTCTCAACAGTGCCAGTGTTCCCAAACCTGCAACCCGTCTCTGCAGAGCTATTCCCTTACCTGCTGAAAATTAAGCTGCAGTCCCTCTGACTTCTCTTGGGGCTTGATGGACAGGAGGCAGTCTCCTACAAGGTAAGTTCCCTTATCAATTTACTGTTTCAACTGCCCTAAAAGTTCAGCTTTCCAAACTCCTAACAAATAGGGATACTTATAGTACTACAAATAGTTTCAGAGTTGGAAAAGACCTTAGAGTCTAATCTAAAACCTTCATTTGGCCCGGCACTGGTGCCTCACACCTGTCCTACTCAGGAGGCTGAGACCTGAGGATCGCCGTTTGAAGACAGCCTGGGCAGGAAAGTCTGTGAGACTCTTATCTCCAATTAAATAAAAAGCTGGAAGTGGCATTGTGGCTGGAGTGGAAAAGTGCTAACTTTCAGCAAAAGGAACACAAGAACAGTGTCCAGGCCCAAAGTTCAAGCTCAGGACTGGCAAAAAATAAAAAATAAACAAAATTTTCTCAGAGGAAGAAAGAAAGTTACACCAATTTCAGGTAAGGGAAGAGGCTGGGAATATATATGCAGCCCAGTGGTAATAGCGTTTGTTCCGAATACTCAAGGCCTTGGATTCCATCCTCAGCACTGAAAACAAACAAAAAGGCTAAGCACAGGATTGTTGTTATAATCTAGGATTCTGGACACCTTGACCTTTGCTCTCCAGCCTTGCAGAGAAACCCCACCTACCCTTACCATCCCTGCCACACCAAAGCCCCAGTGGGGATCCTTCAGTAGTGTGGACTTTAGGCTGAGGGAATTGCTCTTGGACCCCTTTGGGAAATACCTCTTCAAGGCCCAGTCACTCACCAAGATGCGCCATTAGCTCGTCTGATGTGATCATTTCCTTCTGGGGGGGAAGCTTCACCTGGAGGTAGAAAGGGTGATTGTGTGGGTGCTTTCCAGCCCAGAGTACAAAGGAGAAACCCATAAGAAGAGAGGGATCCATTGTTAAAGGTAAGGTGTGTGTGTGGGGGGGGGGGGGGGGGGCCAAGAGAATGAAGGGGAAGCAAGGCATTCCCAAATCCTAGGGAGTTGTTGAACTAGAACTAGAAGAGAATAGAGCTGGGCACCAGTGACTCACACTTATAATCCAAGCTACTCAGGAAGATCGCAGCTAGAAGCCAGCCCAAGCAGGAAAGTCCATGAGGCTCTTATCTCCAGTTAACCACCAAAAAGCTAGTAGTGGAGCTGTGGCTCAAGTAGTACTAGCCAAGCAAAAAAGTTCAGGAACAGCTCCCAGGCACTAGCTCCCAGGGCACACAAAGAAAGAACAGAGAATAATCTGGAATTGTGTGTGTGTGTGTGTGTGTGTGTGTGTGTGTGTGTGTGATGGTAGCAGGGCTTGAATTCAGAGCCTTGCTCCCTTTGGCTTTTTCTGCTCAAGAATGGTGTTCTACCACTTGAGCCACACTTCTACCTCTAGCTTTTTTTTTTTTTTTTTGCTGTTTAACTGAAGATACAACTTTCTTGGATTTGTCTACCCAGGTTGGCTTCAAACCTAGGTCCCCTGGTCTCAGCCTTCTGAGTAGCTGGGAGTTTGGTGTGAGTGGAATGTTGGAGAAAAGCAGGACAATCGAGGTGAGTGAGGGAAGAATTCTCCCAGATATTTTCTGAGCTCCCATCCAAACTCTGTCTTACCTTCCACTGCAGAAAGAGGATATTCATGATAGCAAGAAGAGGGCAAGGGCCATTGGTGCTCTGGGTGATAATGGGAGTCCGTTCTCCCTTCCAGGGGATCCACTTTACACAGTAGACATCTAGCTCAGGCTGTCGGGTCCTGGGGGACTGGGGAAGCTCCTGGGGCCTGGAGACTGTTCCTCGTGTCTCTATTTCAGGTGACATTCCGCAGGGTGGCCCAGGTTGACTTGGGCTAGTCTCAGGAGGACACGACTCAAGATTATCCCCAACCTGGCCAGGGAGCGAAGCTTGATCTCCTAGCTCCTGTTCTCCAACTGTTCCATCAGTGTTCCTGGCATCCTTGTTTTGCCAGTGCGCATCCCGTTCTGCTGGGACCTCACGGCTTTCAGAGGTGACGGCTTCTGTACTCTTGATTTTATCAGGGGCCAAATGTTCTGGCTGAGGGTGTTCCATGGTAGGAAGGAAATCAACTGAAGGGCACTTGAAGGTGTTTTCTGACCTCAGGCCACAATTGCCTAGGCCAGTTGTGGTACACAAAAGCAAGATGTGTCCAATAAGAAGACCATTGAGCTGAAAAGGAAAGGGATCTAGAAAAGTGTTAGAAAGGTGTGTGGCCTGCAAAGCTGACACTAGCACAGGCACTCGTGGCTCTGAGTAGTACCAGGCCCTTCTCAGCTTGTGTAAACAGGACTCAGGCTGAGCTGGTTCCACATCTAACTTGCTGTAACCTGATGAGAGGAATCCGGGCTTGAGCGGGAAGAATCTGGTTGAATTGCTTCCCTAAAACAGAGAATGGCAAGAAATGAAGAAAAGAGAAAAAGGGAGAAAGATCAGAGAAAGAGATGAGGAAACATTAAACTATCTTTTCTTTTTTTTCTGAGTTGTATGGGTTTTTTTTTTTTTCCTGTCGGTAGTGGGGCTTGAACTCTGTGCTTGTTTTTCTTTTTTTCTGTACTGAGGCTTGACCTCAGGGCCTGGATGCCAGCCTTTAGCTTTTTCCATTCAAGGCTACCATTTGAACCACACCTCTACTCGGGCTATTAGAGATGAGTCTCCTGGACTTTTCTATCTCAGCAGGCTTTGAACCTTGATCCTCAGATCTCAGCTTCCTGATTAGCTAGGATTACACCAGTACCTAGTTTAAATCTATCTTAATACTGTTTGGGGCCTAGGCCTAGGGTCTAGCATGCACAAGGCCCTAGCACTAGTAACTTGTTTTAAAAGGCCAAGAATCAAAAGCAGACTATCCTAATGGCTAATTTGATCGTGAGCTTACCCAGTAAAAGGAATCACATCCGTAACCCACAGCAGAGGCAGGGTGGCGGAAATTCCTCTGCCCCACACCAAACTCCTCCTCTTCACAGAACATCCTGAGTACACACAGGCTCCGTAGGGATACCTTCCCCCCACCTCACCCCAGGGTTGAAAAGATTAATCACCACCTATTTGTTGGGTGGAGTAGAGATGCAGCCTGTCCCCAGATCTTTATAGTGACAGGGCAAGTTATTCTCCTCAAAGGACTCTGCTGAACCTTACACAATCCCAAACCACAAGCAAAAAGGTTGTGGGAGGGGCTTCCTGTAGGCTGGAGAGGGGAAATGTAGGTTGTGGAAGCTTGAATCCGAGAATAGTTAAGTACAGACTAGGGCATCAGACACAGTCCCCACAAATTCTTTCTGTAAGCTTCTCTTGACAGCTGGAGTTGACACAGCAACTTCTCTTTGTTCCCCCAACTGCCTAAACCCAGAGACACTGTCTTGCCCATTATTCGTATGAATATGCATATAATGATTATTTGCACAAAAATAGTCCTTCTGCACTCACCAACTGGTATGTTCTTTTTGTCTGGTTCCATCTAGGTCATGGTAGTTTTTAAATTTTATTCATCTATTTTATATTTAGTGTGTGTGTGTGTGCACGTGCGTGTGCACACGCGCGTGCGCAGGTATTGCAGCTTGAAATCAGAGCCTAGGTGCTATATACCTTAGTTTTTTCATTCATGACTAGTGTTCTACCACCTAAGCCACAGCTCCACTTCTGGATATTTGGTGGTTAACTGGAGATAAGAGTCTCAAGTGCTCTTTCTTCTGGCTGGCTTCTAACCTGGATCCTCAGATCTCAGTCTCATGAATAGCTAAGATTACAGATGTGAGCCATTGGCACTCAGCCTCTTCTTTTTCTTTTAATTTGTGAACACTGGACCTGTTTAACCTGTTCTCTATCAGCACTAAGCACTGAGTCAAGCACAGAGACGTTTAATCAACACTCAACAGTAAATGATAAAAAGTCACCAAAAAAAAGCCCTACTTTCTGTCTTCCTTCTCTCTTCAATCTCCCAGCTCCCTTCCTAGCTCTTTAGTCAGGATTAAAAAAAATGAGGAAAGCCAAGCACTAGTGGTTCACGCCTGTAATCCTAGCTACTCAGGAGGCTGAGATCTGAGGATCACAGTTCAAAGCCAGCCCAGGCAGGAAAGTCCGAGAAACTCTTATCTCCCATAAACCACCAGAAAACCGGAAGTGGTGCTATAGCTCAAGTGGTAGAGCGCTAGCCTTGAGCTGAAGAGCTGAGGGACAGCGCCCAGGCCCAGAGTTCAAGCCCCATGACTGACAAAAAAAAAAAGAAAAAAAAAAAAGAAATCATCTCTTTTCTCCTCCAGCTTCATCCATAGCATCAGGGTAGCTGATACAGCTGATGCTATGCTTTCTTTTTGTAAACTTATAGGAATTTTGGGCTGGGGAAAAGACTTGGAAGGTAAAGATAAAAAACATTAAAATTACTAAAATAAAATAAGCCTAGTCACCCAAACTGATCAAACTCCTGATCCAAATACAATTCATGCTAGTTGCTTTTGGATTAGAATCAGAAATTGTGTGTAGGCCTTACACCTTTCTCTCTCTCTCTTTCTCTTTCTTTCTCTCTCTCTCTCTCTCCGTCTCTCTGTCTCTCTGTCACTTTCCTTCCTTACACATGGCATTTACTACGAGCTTTGGAGCAGATGCTAGAACATGGGAAAATTGACAAAACTTGAAAGCTTGAAGAAAAGTTAAGACTCTTTTCTACCTAGTACTAGAAATGATCAATCCAAGTAGGGGCTGGGAAGCTAGCTGGCCAGAGGGATAAGCCAGAAAAAACTGGGTGCTCAATATCTAAGGGAGGAGCTGGGAAGGTGGCTCAGTGGTAGAGCGCTTGCCTTGCATGCTTGAGGCCCTGGGTTTGATTCCTCAGCACCACATAAGCAAAAAGAAAAAACCCGGAAGTGGCGCTGTGGCTCAAGTGGTAGAGCACTAGCCTTGAGCTGAAGAGCTGAGGGACAGCGCCCAGGCCCAGAGTTCAGGCCCCATGACTGGACCCCCCCCCAAAAAAAAAAAAAAAAACACCTAAGGGAATGGAATCTCAGAGAATTGTTCAGAGCTAAGTGGGCAGGACATATAAGAGGGTCCAACCCCCCCTATAAGGGACACTCCCAGTGGGAAGGACAAGGTGTATTTCAGTGTAGGAAAGAATGAGGGGGAGATCAGGGTTGTTTTTTTTTTTTAATAGATGTTCTTATTTTTTTATTTATTTTTTGGGTCCAGTCGTGGGGCCTGAACTCTGGGCCTGGGCGCTCAGCTCTTCAGCTCAAGGCTAGCACTCTACCATTTGAGTCACAGGGCCACTTCTGGCTTTTTTCTTTCTGCTTATGTGGTGCTGAGGAATCGAACCCAGGGCCTCAGGCATGCAAGGCAAGCGCTCTACCACTGAGCCACCTTCCCAGCCCTCACCTCACTCCTTACACTTCCTCTCCAGCTGTAATTATCCTAAGGTGGCAGGTAAAGGGCTTAAAATAGCCTTGACTTCTCCCTAGTCAGTGGTAGTAAATAGCCCCAGAGTGGAAGAAATGTATCAAATAGGTCTGGATGTAGCTTCAAGAAGCCATCGTCCACTCCCAGGAACCATCTTCTCCCCTCAAATCCCATGCTAATCTCCTCAGTCTGACCCAAATCTTCAGAAGAACTCCCACACCACTACAATGCACTGTCAACCTGCTCCGGAGGAGGGAGGGTGAGTTGGAGGAGGGAGGGTGAGTTGGAGGAGGGAGGGTGAGATGGAGGAGGGAAGAAATGGAAGGACCAAACAGTGTCTCTTACATATTCCTTCTGCCTTAGTTCTTCTAACCCATTCACATAGTGGAGAGGGAAAGAAAAAAAAATCATGAAAACAAAGTTTGTCTGTTGTTGTTGTTGTTGTTGTTTTTACCTTAAAGAGGTGGGTGAAGCTCCAGGAAGGTGGTGGGCTCAGCTCTTCGGCAGCTGGACTGGGAAGGGTGGACACGAGGGCACCAGTGCCAGCTGCTGCCTTCCAGCAGTCAGCGCCAGAGCTTGGACAGGTTGACACACGTTCAGAAGCGCTGCTGTCGTTGCCGTCCTAGCCAGATCCCAGATCGTGGCCACTTCCAGACTCACTTCCAGGATTGGGGAGCCCCCATGACAAGTAGGGGAGCAGACAAGATGCTCCCGGTGGTTCTCAGCGCCTTCAGAATTCCTGAGTGGCAGAGTCGAACAGTGGTGCCGCTCCAGGCCCTGACTGCACACACTGGTTTTCAAAGGAAGTTTGTGGTTATTCTTTTTCTCTTCTCTCTTTCTTTTTTTCTTTTGCCCATCGGGACAAAGAAAAATTAATCAAGGACAAGCTCCTAAGAAGAGGAGGGGCCTACCTCGCACTGAAGGACTTCCATTATCTGACCCGGTCAGCAGCCTGCTGATCAGCAGAGAGAGAGAGAAATAAGGAGAGAAAAACAACAGACCCTTTCTCTTCCCTCCTCCCGCGGCTGGAAGGGACGGAGCGCTTGTGCCTCTCTGGTGAGAATGGGGAAGAGCAAGTGCGGTGGCTGGGCGGGGAGGAGCAGGGCTGGAGAGCAGCAGCGTGGTGACAGTCCTTTCCTTCTCCCCACAACTTGCTCTGGACCCAAAAAACCTGGTCACAGAGCATATGTGCAGATTTACTCATGTAATTCTTTTTTTAATTTCCTGCTCTGGTGTTTAAAATAAAGTCTAGAAATAAAATTGGTTGGGTTTGGGCACCCAGTGTACACAGAAGGTGTGGAAGAAACCCAGGCTCTTGGAAAAGAACACTGTCGGGAGAGAACCATCAGAGCAAGGGGAGATTCAATGCCCCGAACTCTGATTTCAGATTCAGCCTCTTTCTCAGTTTCCAGCTTATGGGAGCAAGATAAGCTGGTAGGAAGCTAGTGGTAGGAAATGAAAGAATCGATTAATAAATGAGGGGACATTTGATACATTTGATGACAAAGGGGTTTTTTTTCTTCTTCATTACTCTGCACTACTTTGGGGCTGAAAAGTGGCCGCTAAGGAAAGTCAAAACCTAGCTCTACATTCTGTGTGTGTGTGTGTGTGTGTGTGTGTGTGTGTGTGTGTGCGCGCGTGCGCGCGCGCTGGTATTGGGGCTTAAACTCAGAGCTGGGATGCTGTTCCTTAATTATTTTGCTTAAGGCTGCTGCTCTACTACTTGAACTACAGTCTCACTCTGGCTTTTTTGGTATTTAGTTGGAGATGGGAGTCTTAGAGACTTTCCTTCCAGGGCTGGCTTGGAATAGTGATCCTCAGATCTCAGCCTCTTGAGTAGGATTGCAGGTGGGAGTGAGCCATCAGCCCCTGGCTAGTAGCTCTCAACATTCTGAAGGGCCCTTCACATTCTATTTACACAACTGCCACAGGATGAGACTTTAAGCAACTCTGAAAGCTGAAAGATCAATTTGAACAGTTGGGGAGTCAGGAAGCAAACTCAGGGTTATAACAGCCTAAGAATGTAATGAAGAGGTATTTGTGGAGACTGAAGAAGAAAACTGTAGAGTTGTAAAGAAGAACCAAGTTAGAGGGACTGTATGTAAAAGCACAGGAGTAAAAAAAAAATTATGCTAATATCTTTCCATCATGGACAACCAGGAAATTGGTGGGAATGGTTAGTTTGGGAAAGGGAAGAATTCAGGGAAGGAAAATGGAAAACTGTTATGCCATGTTGTAATTTAAGATGTCAATCAGCGTGCGCACGGTAGCCCATACTCGTCATGCCAGGACTCTAGAGACTAGGCAGCAAGGTCCCGCGTTTGAGGTCAGCCTAGACTACATAGCAAGAAGCGTTGGAGAGTCGTCCCTTGCTATATCATGGTTCACTTGTTTGTACTTGGCGGATATTTACCTATTGCGGGGGTTGGGGGGGTGTCTCTGGAATGTAATGTGAGGGATCACTACATATTTAAAAAGCAAACAAACAGTGAAATGAAGGGACTGAGAAAGTGCTCAGTGGTAGAGTGCTTGCTCGCATGTACGAGGCCCTGGGTTCGATTCCTCAGCACCATCTAAACAGCCGGAAGTGGTGCTGTGGCTCAAGCGGTAGAACCCTAGCCTTGATCTGAAGAGCTGAGGGACAGCGCCCAGGTCCAGAGTTCAAGCCCCACGACCGACAAAAACAAAACAACAACCCCCCCAAAAGAAACAAAACAGTGAACCGAGATACAGCGAGGGACGACTCTATAAGTATGTGTCAAAGTTTTCAGAAAGTTGTCCCGTCTGCAATGGAATGGGGCGTCTGGAACGTCTGAACTACGTCTCCCAGAATGCCACGCGATACGCAACCCCGCCCCCTCGTTCTCTGGGAGACGTCCCATGAGCCTCTGGGCGTAGAGCTCCGCCTCCGCCGCTGGGGGCGGGCGGCGTCCGACTCCGGGAGCACCGGATTACGTACTTCCTGCGGAGGTCGGAGGCCGAATCCCTTTATGGCGGGTTCGAGACCCGCCTCCTGGCTCGCCTCTAGCCCCTGAGCCCTGGGCGGGGTGTGTTCGCCGGGTAACCTGTGTTCGACGAGGGCCGACAGCACCCCGGGCGCTCCGCCATGGAGGCCTTCCTGCAGGGTTGTCGAGCTGCTCTGCAGGTAACGGATCTCTGTCTGTGATCGTAAGGAATGGAGCTTGGGGGTCCGGGAGGGACGGGGGTGATGTGGGAATCTCGGGAAGCCCCGACAGTCGGTGTGGGGAGGTTGCCGACGTGTGGGAAGGAGGTTTGGGGTCTGATCGGGCTTGGGGAATTTTACGCGCCGGAGGCGGCTGCTGGGGCTCCGGGCTTTTGAGTCCCCGCCTTTGGGGACTGACCGGGAACGAATGGGGAGGAGGAGTCTTGATGTTTGAGTCTCGGCTGGCTGTCGCCCGGGTAGTTCCCTCTAAAGGACCTGAGCCTTGCCGCCGCCAGCCTCTCCTCTTAGGGTGTGCTCTCTCCTTGTTTTCCCCTCGCCCCTCTGTCAGTGATCTGCTCCCAAGGCTTGGCTTAGCCCGCTGTCCGCAGGTGAACCTCGAAGGTGTGGAGAGAACCCGGGTGCACGGCTGTACTTGCTCTAAATGGCGGATTCTCTGTGGTGGCCGGACTCTTTTCTAGGTGTTAAAGGTGGTCGCGCAGAATCTGTGTATTTTAAGCCAGACATCCATGAGGCATTATGAGTTGACCCACAGCCTGCATTCCTTTGCTTCTAGATTTCTTCTTGGCCCTAATGCCCACAAATTACTTAAAAATCCCCACCCTCCTCCTGGTCAGGAATAGCACAGAGTGTTTGAAATCAAAACACCTGAATGTTTTGTAGCTTGTTTTAGGTTCCTACCCTGCTGACTGGTCATGCAGCAGTGGGCTGCTTCTCCCCTGTTAGCAGCACAAAGCTAGTCAGTGAGAATTTAGAAGGTCTCCTGGATCCCCCTACTTTGAGTTACACTGTCCCTGAAGAAGCGCAGACGGATGGCCTATGGTCTTCCTTTTAGAGTATCTTATCTGGGTGTGGTGGACTGTGCCCGAGATCCAAGTACTTGGGAGGCAGGAGGGTCTAAGTCACAGAAAAACAAAACTAGCCAAATACTGAGTTCTACCTGTAAGTTCTGATCTTTAACAAATGCCAAACATCACCTAATTCCTTTCTGGGATAAATAAATGCTCTCTTACTGGGATGAGGTTCAGTTTTTTTTTCTTTTATTTTCCTCATTTTTTTTGTCAGTCATGGGCCTGAACTCTGGGCCTGGGCACTGTCCCTCAGCTCTTCAGCTCAAGGCTAGTGCTCTACCGTTTGAACTACAGCGCCACTTCAAGCTTTTTCTGTTTATGTGGTGCTGAGGAATTGAACCCCAGGGTCTCATGCTTGCAAGGTAAACACTCTACCTCTGAGCCACCTTCCCAGCCCCAGGTTCAGTTTTAACACCAATTAACACCAAAGTTTTCTTTGTGAAAAATTTATAGTGTTTTAATGCATAACAATTTGGAGCCAATGTTTTCTTTCTTCATTTTCATTCCCCCTCCCCCCATTCTTTTTCCTTTTTCTTAGGCAGGGCCTTCCTGAGTAACCAGATGGGTCTTTAAATACACATATCAACCTCCCAAGTACTTGTGTGCCTTTACACTTGGCTTTTTTCTTTCTTTCTTTTTTTTAGGTCAGACCTGGACTCAAACTCAATACTTCTTGCTTTTGCTTATTGGCTAGCACTCTGCCAATGGGCGGTGGGGGGGGGGGGGGGGTAGGGGAGGTCAGCTGCCCCCTCCCCACACACTTTGTTTTCCTCCCCATAAAGGTTTGAATTCAGGGCCTCATGCTAGCTTGCTTGCTTGGCTAGCATTCCACCACTTGACCACACCTTCAGGCTGGGCTTTTTACTGGTTATTTTTTTGGAGATGACACCTCAGGGACTTTGCCACCCTTTTCTGCCTCAGCTGCATCAAACTTGATCTACAGCTCAGCCTCCTGAGTAGCTAGGTAGCTAGGATAATAGATGTGAGCACTAACACCCCACTTGTTTTTTTTTTTCCCAGTTCTGGGCCTTGAACTCAGGGACTGGGCACTGTCCCTGAGCTTCTTTTGGTCACTTGAGAGCCACAGAGCCACTTCCAGCTTTTCCTGTTTATGAGATACTGAGGAATCAAACCCAGGGCTTCAAGCATGCTAGGCAAACACTCTACCACTAAGCCACATTCCCAGCTCAACACCCCACTTCTTTTGGGGTACTTTCTGGGAACTTATTGGAGTTCAGCTGGAAAAGGGTATTAACTGTTGCTGAATTTTTATGGCACCATTCTATGATTTAAAACAGTTGGGCTGAGCCGGGCGCCGGTGGCTCACGCCTGTAATCCTAGCTACACAGGAGGCTGAGATCTGAGGATTGAGGTTCAAAGCCAGCCCAGACAGGAAAGTCCGTGAGACTCTTATCTCCAATAAACCACGAGAAAACTGGAAGTGGCACTGTGGCTCAAATGGTAGAGTGCTCACCTTGAGCTGAAGAGCGCAGGGACAGTGCCCAAGCCCAGAGTTCAAGCCCCACGACCTGACCCAAAAAAAAAAAAAATAGTCTCAAGAATTTTCCTGCCCTGAGATGGCTTCAAACCACAATCTTCAGATCTCAGCCTCCTGAGTAGCTAGGATTATAGGCATGAGCCACTGGCGCCCTGCTCTTCTCTGCCTTTTTCCATCCCCAAAGAGTAAGATGCAAATGTTCATTTCTAAACTTGTGAACTCAAGGTGAGTTAGAATACTGATCACCACACAGTCTTGCCTGGACTTGGGAAGAGAAGGAAATTAGACTTTAGGACTGTTAGGTAAACTGATGGCAGGATATACCAGTGCATACCAAACATTAGAACTGTTTTAAATTATAGAAAGTAGTAAATGTATATAGGGAAATATTAAATATGAAAAGATAAAATGAGGGCTGGAGAATGTGGCTTAGTGGTAGAGTGCTTGCCTAGCATGCATGAAACCCTGGTTCAGTTCCTCAATACCACATACACAGAAAAAGCCAGAAGTGGTACTATTGCTCAAGAGAGAGAGTACGAGCCTTGAGCAAAAGCAGCTTAGGTGATGTTAGGAGAAATGAACCCCAAGATAAGGACTCAAATGGTTTTTCTTTCTTGCTATTGTTTCTAACATATTTATAAGATGATTTCTTTGTTGCTTTGTATGTCCCTCCTCCCACGGTATAACCCTTGTTTTCTCTGTATTTGATGTTGGTATAATTTGGGGAGGAGAAGGGAAAAAACATTGTTTAAATAGGGATACAGGTGGACCCATTGCAACAATGAGATGTACAAGATGTCATGTCGAAAAATGAACTTTAGGGACTGGGAAGGTGGCTCAGTGGTAGAGCGCT